TTGACTAGGGGCTCGGACCCCGACCCCCCGGGAGGCCTCAGGTGCCGAGGGCCCTGATAGGGCCCGGGGGGGCGAGAGGGGGCGAAAACGCCCCAAGCAGGCACATGAGCCCCCTCCTGCAGGTGCCGAGGGCCCTGACACAGGGGGGGGACAGGCCAGGTGGCGGCCCTCCTCGGCGGAACAAGGATGGGGACGACAGAACCAGCGTGCACAACACCCCAGCTGGGGTCAGAACAACCACACAGCTGACACAACGGCAACGCCGCAGCCCCGTGCCACAGGTGCCGAGGGCCCTGAGATGGCAGGGGCGGGACGGTTCCCCGCAGGTGCCAAGGGCCCTGACACGGGGGGCCGCGCCCAGCAGGCCCGAGTGCCGGACTGGCAGCACACCGCAACGCCGAGGAACACGCCCAGGAGGCAGCCGATCCCACTTCCGGCGCCCAACATCATCAAGCAGGACCCGGTGGTTTTTCATAAGAGTTCTGTTGGGCTGAATGAAGGGGGCCAACGCCTTTCAGCTACCCCCCTGACAAGTCCCACGGAGCTGTCACCGGGAGGGGACACCTTCCCGTGGATGGAGAACATCCCGGAGCGCCTGGCACAGCGGCTGAGATGGACACAGGGCACATCGCCCAAAGTTCCATCCAGTGGGCCCATCATTGTCCTGCTCTATGCAGGCAAGGAAGACCCAACTTCCTTAGACAGCTGTCTTCATGCCAACTACCCGCACCTCTCCAGCATGGTGGTGGCAGTAGACATCCTACGATCGGGACCAAAAGGGAACCACGACATGCTCCAACCCGAGCTGTATGGAGCGCTCTGCACGGCAGCAAAGCAGGGCCGAGTGGTCTTCATTGGGGGAGGACCCAACTGCAGGACATGGTCCATCCTGCGCCACATACCAAAACCGGGGGCCCCCACCCCGGTGCGAGGACGCACTCGAGAGACACTTTGGGGCCTCCCACACCTGGACCAGGCCGCCCAGACTCAGCTTGATGAGGACAGTACCCTCATTTTGAGGCAGATGTACATCACCAGCCTGGCAAGGGCCTCAAGATCGGCGGTCTCTCTGCCAGGGCCAAAATCCTTCCTGGAGCACCCGGAGGACCCAGTGGTGAGCAGCTCGCTGCCCAAAGCCAAGGAATGCTCATCCTTCTGGATCACGGAGGAGGGGCAGCTTTGGATGGAGGAAAACTCCCTGACAGCAATCTCCTTCGACCAGTGCCGCCTGGGCCAGCTGGTCAAGAAGGCCACCACACTTGCCACGGATCTCCCAATCCAGGACTGGGATCAAATGCGGTGCACACATCAGTCACATGTGGGCACCAGCGAGTCCTCGACTCTCAGCAGATACCCCTGGGATATGATGGCAGGCCTGGCCAAAGCCATCGCTGTGTCACTCGCAGCGCCGGGGCACATCCGGATCCCCTCACAATTCCCGGGAAACCCTAAGGAACCACCTAAGGGAAGGGGGTCGGACCTTTCTGGGGGCCCTTCTCCCCGGGGAAAACGGGGACCCAATCAGGGAGGCGGTCCCTCCTCGTCACACCAGGGCCCAGAGCCCGGAGGCAAGAATGCCCCGAAGCCCCGCCAGCACGGGCACATCCACCATGAGGCTGACACCGTAAGCCCTCGTGGAACTATGAGTCCAGACTTCCCATCTCCCATGCCCCCGATGGCCGGAGATGCGGAACAACTGGAAAAGGAAGAACAAGGGGACCAGGTCCTGGACCGCCCCGAATGTCTGCCCGCTTTCCGGGTCCCACGCCTCACTGACCGAGTTGCGATTGTCCAATTGGGTTTCCGTTCACGCCCCCTGAGAGATGGGGGGGGGAAACCTTCCCCCGGGGAGGCTCAACCCCTTTCGGAGAATTTCCCCTTTGGCTACTTTGGGCGCCCTGATCATGACCCTTACCAGGCCCTGGATTGACAAGGTCCGGATGTCCCTGGCATCAGGTGCCACCACACACCCCTTCCAGGAAGCCGACCTCGAGGAGCTGCGGGCTATCCTAGGACCGAGGCACCTCCATGAACGATGCCCAGGACAACCCTTCCTCCTGGACTTAGTGTCGCACTTGGCATCCCTTTCAGGTGACCCTGATTGGGAGTTCCCCCTGACACTGAAAGAGGGGGTCCCCTTGGGAGTCTCGGACCCTACCTTGACCTCCCCGGGAGTTTGGCCCACTAAGGAGGAGCTTAAGGGAGAAGCCTGGCTGGGGGAAGACCCCCCCCCGCCAGTGGCTCATGATAACTACCCAACGGCGGAACTCTTTGCCGAGGAAATCGAATCAACCTTTTACGAGGAACGAGCCTTGGACATGGTGGACGGGCCCTTCACTCGCTCCGAGGCGGCGGAGAGGTGCCGCTGCAAACCGGAGGAACTTTGCCCGGGCCCCCTTGCAGGGATTGATGAGTCGGACAAGATCAGGACGATTTACGATGGCTCCAAAGGGGGAGCAAACGCACACATCCAGGCTCACACAGGGGAGAAGACCACTGCACCGATGGTCGGAGACTGCCTCCACGCCATCCACTGGCTCAGGACAGCGACGGACCATCCCCATCTACTTGGGGCCACGCTCCCGAACACTGAGGAGAGACCTCGGGATGTTCACCAGCCGGTGCAGGGGCAGTCCCCAGGTGCCGAGGGCCCTGAGAGGGACCCCCGCAGCACCAGCCTGCCCCCCAGGGCCGAGGCAGGGGGATTATGGATACCTCCGGCGGCATGGACGTCTCTCTGGGATCGACACTTTCAGGAAAGGGACCACTCCCAGGTGCCGAGGGCCCTGATAGGAGGGCCCCCTTCCCCCCAACCCCCCCGGGCACAGAATGCCCTGGGGGGAGCGGGGGGGAACCCCTGAAAAGGCAGCTGCCGACACAGGGGGAAACCTTCATCATCCTCAAGGCGGATGTCACCAAGGCCCACAGGCGTATTAAAGTGCTCCCTAAGGACTGGAAATACCAGGTGGCCTGCATCCAAAACCGGTGGTGGGTCAACAGAGTGGGCACGTACGGCATGGCCTCGGCACAGCTGTACTGGGGAAGAAAGGCATCCCTGGTGCTCAGGCTCTTGTACTACATCTTCTCCCATGTGGACTGGCACTTAGTCTTTGTGGACGACTACTGCTGGGTCCTCAGATGCAGCCGGGCGGACTGGGACGCCACAGCCATCTTGGCTACACTGCTGGCGCTGGGAGTCCCGCTTTCCTGGAAGAAGACGGCGCTCTCCCCGATCAATACCTGGTTGGGTTTTGTGGTGGACCCAATCACGCCCTGTGTACTGCTGGCTCCAGTCAAACACGTCATAATCCTGGCCACTCTTAAACGGCTGGCCCAGGGGGACATCTTCACCAGCAAGGAGGTGGAACAAGCCCTAGGCCGTATTCAATGGGCTACTTCGGCGTGCCCATTGACGAAACCTTTCCTCCAGCCTTTTTGGAGCTGGAAGAAGGCCTGCACCACTTCGGGCAGGCCACCGAAGCTGGTTCGTGCTCTGGCCATACTTTTGGGGAGACTCTTCAACCAGAGGTTCCCACTGGCATCCCCATTTGCTCCCACACTCCCATGGACGGGGGCATCTGATGCGGGAGCTGGCAGACAGGCGGACCATGCATGGGTGGGTGGTTGGTGCTCGGACGTGCCCAACCCCGACAAGTCCCGTGTTAAGTGGTTCCAGCACAAAATCACACCGGAGGGCGAGCCGTGGGCCTTCACTACTGGGGACCCACAGCGGGCGATAGCGGCCTTGGAGCTCTTCGGCCTCCTCCTTTTGGTGAGGGCCGTTCTGCTTTGTGCAGCCGGCTCGGCTTCTCACACTAGGATCCTGGTGGCTAGTGATAACCAGGGAAATGTTTTCTCCCTTCTTAACGATTCCACTCGTAGGATGCCCAATGCGGCCATCCTCATGGAAATTGTGCTCACGCTGCATGACCAGCAGGTCATGCTGGGGCCGTCGCATGTGAAACGCGACTTCAACACGTGGGCGGATGAGCTTACTCATCCGGACCCGCAATTCCCGACTGAGAACCGGGTCTTCCCCTCAGTCGAGAGCGAATTGATCACACGGATCTTCGCTACATTCCTTCCTCACCCATGATGCCGGGAGGGCATCCGGTGAGGTGGGAGGATTTCTCCCTCGCTGTGGGAGTGGCATCAATCCTACTCCCATCAGCTGCTGAGGGGAGCTGCCCAGTGGAACTGGGCAATCCTCCCATTTTGGCACTAACCCTTATGCGGCAACAAAGGAGGCACCGTTTTGCGAATAAGGCCTCAGTAGCACCTGAGTGGTGCTTCAAAGAGTCTGGTGGTTTTAAACATCACCTTTTTGGCAACCATGAAAGGTGAGTGTCCCTTGAGGTGATGTTTTAAGGGGAAATAACTCGGGAGCCCTGGAGCTTTGAAGCGGTCCGTTGCAAAATGATGCAAGATGTTGGGCTCATTTGGTTTTGGTGCTGTAAAACGATAGTTGTATGTGCTGCTAAAAACAAAAAAACGATAGTTGTGGTTGATGTGTTGTGGAACAATCACTAGTTTGCCCCCATGTGTAAAATGATGGTGACAATGTTTGCGGTGTAACGGTGGCAAGCCGGTTTTGCAAAGGGAGCGCCCGCCCTGCCAAAGGAGCCACTCCACGTATCTTTTTGGGCAAGAGGGGGCGGGAACACGTGCGGAACCGCGGAATATTTTTTCTTTGGGAGTTTCCCACGCCAAGGAAGGGACAAAGCCCAAGCTGGAGGCAACAAGTCCAGTTATATTGTATCCACTGGTGAAAATATCCATCTCTCCATAAGTGGCACTCGTGGGAGCCACGAGTGACTCCACTTCAATACTCCCAAAAGGAGGAAGTGGCACTTGCACCTGTCACACCCACAAGTGAACCCTCCACAACCCGCAGCCGCAAAAGTTCTTGGAGCTCCCCGCCGCATTTCAACCCCCCCCCCCCTCCCGAGCCGTGTGCGTTCCGCGCGTTCCGCGGCCGTGGCGCGCCACGGCCGTGGGAGGAGCGGCAGAGTCAGCTGGAGGGCGCCGTGGCGCGGGTCTCCGGCGCGCTGCCGCGGATGTCCGTGGAGATCATGAGCGCCGTGGCCGACTTTGGGGCTCGAATTTCCGTGGGTTTCCGGGTCAGGTTCAGGGGGAGGAACAAGCATTTGCGGCTCTGAGTTGGGGCTCGAAAAATTCCGGGGGGTTTGTGTCTGGTTCGGGGGGGGGGGGGTTTGGGAGGGGGGGTTCGAAACCCCACTGAGGGGCCTTACGCAGCACCATGGCCGAAACGTACAAGCGGAGCTGAGTTTCATTGTTTTTGATGTGAGGGAGTGAAAGTGCGACCATCTTGGTAGAACCAGCTGGACATGCTTTCTCCTGCGTGTCTGGGCAAGCCCAAGTTTTTCCCTAGCCTGGCAATGCTGAGCATGGCTTGCCACACGAAACTTTTTGGAGGACATTGCGACATGTCTATTTTCTTGAAGGGTTTGTAAATATTGGGAAGACCTCCTGGCTTTGAAAAATAAAACACCAAGGGCACCAACATGTCTGAGACACACACACACACAGACGTATCTCCCTGCCAACTTGGCAATATGTTTTTCCCCAAATCTGGTCAACTTTCAGGGAGGCATTTGGAGACTTGTGTCCTGTTGTTTTGAAGCTTCTTTCATTCCCATCTGGAGTGATTTCTAATGGCTCAAACAATAGTGATGTGCAAAGCCATTGGCCAAACAATGAATTGTGATCCTTCGCTTGATTTCCATTTGCACCCACCTATTGCTACGAAGAAAAACAAGGCAAACAAAGACAAAAACACATTGTTTCTGAAGAGCAACGCGATCGTGATCCAGAGCTTTTCAAACATGCTGAAGCCTCCCGTGTTTGACCCACAACAAGTGTGCAAGCAATGAAGTTGGACCATATTGAACATGACGTGTCACGTAAAAGTACAACTTTATACATGTTGCTTGTATCCAAGGTGTGTATATATCAGTATACATATATATATATATATATATGTGCGTTCATTTTGGGGGGTTTCACAGGAAAGCCAAAGGCGGAACGGGGCCCACTTGGACAAGCCACACTCTTACAGGCCACAATCCGGACTTAATTGTCGCCGTGCATGCATCGAGCTCTCTTAGAACCTCTAGAACATCCAAGCATAGTTACAACCTTCTTAAGTAGCAGTAGCACTACTGCGGATGGACGAAATCCTGCACCACCTAAGAAACCCTGGAATGATTCGATTCCCTTGTAAATACCAACAATCAATGGTTTCAACTATGGTTTCATTTCGTGGTGCAATTTCTGGATTTCGCAAGCATCCCTTCTCCCTTTAGTACAGAAAAATCGACGACAGAAATAGACGTCCAGAAAAAAATATATCGGGTACCAACTCATTCTAACTTCTCCACGGGAGGACCTGGCAGATGTTTCATGCCTCCCTTTAGTTTTCCCCAATGCTCATCCCATCTTCATCGGAGCTTTTGATCAACCCCCAGAGCCACAATCAAAACCCGGGTAAGTGAAGGTGTGCGCCTCAGTTCTGGAAGCATGGTGGGTCAACCCCCAGATGTTTCTCCCGGTTTTCTCCCTGTTCCGTGACTCCTCCGAGCCCAGCCTCGCCGCTTTTCGAGGCGACTGGGAGGCGCTGGCCCGGGAACGCTTCGCCGAGGCGAAGGTCTCCCAGGAGTGCGGCGGTCGGGTCGCGCCAAAGCGCCGGGACTCCGACTCCTCTAAGGTTCCGGCAGGTCGGGTCAGAGACCCTGTAGTCATGGGGGCTGGGGAGGGAGGGGAGGGGGAGGGACTTTTTTTTTCCTTGTTAAGCCCCTATTAAGGCCATGTATAGGGCTTATTTGGGCTCCCTTTTTCTCCCCCTCCCCCCCAGCCCCCATAATGTAGGGGTTGTAGACAACCACACGGATTCTTAGTAAGGACCACAAACCATAAACATAGTTTTGCCTACCTGTTTTTGGGTGTGATTCTTTAGGGGGGTTCTGGACCCTTTCGTGGACACGTAGGGGATTCGAGGTTCTATTTTTTCAACGTTGTCTACGGTAGGAGGCACAGGAAACGCACAATGCGAGCAGGACATGGGTTAGTTGGGGAATGATTGACCGCTCACATGGAAACCCTTACCCTTTGGCTCCCCTTGAAACAAGCTTGGTTTATGAGGGTGGTGCTCAGTCTTCATAGTTGAAGTTGTTTTCTTTCTTTGGAGTTGCTCAGTTGTGATAGTTGAAGCTGTTTTCTTTATTTGGAGTTGTTTGAAGAGTTTTGATAGTTGAAGTTTCTCAGTTCTTTTTGGTTGTTTCTTATTTTGTTTGATCTTGGAAGGGGGTTTCAAGTAGCAGTGTCCTAGGTAGGTTTGAGCCAAAGCCAATTGGTCCGACAACCACCGTCCTTTTGAGGCATCACCACTGGCAGTCGCTTCAATTCCTGACTCAGGTGTTGGCAAGAGAAGAATCAATGGAGTTAGTTTTGGTTCACGTGCGCACACCTCTCGTCGAGCTGAAACTTCTCGTCGGATTTGCTGGTCCGAGATGGGGTGACGAGACAAAATGTCTGGTGAAAGCCACTAAGAACCCTCTAAGAGCCCTTGCGCTCAGCCAAACCTCTGGACAGGGCTCAGACTCAAGTCGCCAACCACACCAGGAGGAAGGAAGCAACAGAGAATTGCACCAGTGCAGAGTGGGAATAGCAGACCTTGTCATGGGATGTTGGGATGGGGATGCTGGGGATGCTGGGGGTGCTGGCTGGGGTGCTGGCTGGGGTGCTGGTGATGCTGGTGATGCTGGGATGCTGGATGCTGGAGGTGCTGAGGATGCTGGGAATGCTGGGATGCTGAGGATGCTGGGAATGCTGGGGATGCTGGGGATGCTGGGGATGCTTGTGATGCTGGGGATGCTGGGGATGCTGGTGATGCTGGGGATGCTGGGGATGCTGGTGATGCTGGGGATGCTGGGGGTGCTGGGGGTTCTGGGGGTGCTGGTGTGCTGGAGGTTCTGGAGATGCTGGGGATGCTAG